TTAAATACTCGGGTTTTCTTTTCTTTTTAAGATTTATTTACTTATTTAGGAGAGAGAAAAAGCACTGCATTCATGAGCGTGCATGTGCAAGTGCACGTGGGAGGGGCAGAGGGAGAGGGAGAGAGAATCTCAAGCAGACTCCCTGCTGAGCACAGAGCCCAACCCTGAGATCATGACTTGAGCTGAAACCAAGAGTAGGACACTTCACAGACTGAGCCATCCAGGTGCCCTATTATGCTCAGTGTTGGTTTACTTTATTTTATTTATTTATTTGGCAGACAGAGAGAGAGAGCGAGCCAAGCAGGGGCGGCAGCAGAGGGAGAGGGAGCAGCAGACTCCCAGCTGAGCAGGGAACCCGATGTGGAGTTCAATCCCAGGACCCTGGGATCATGACCTGAGCAAAGGCACTTAAGCAACTGAGCCACCCCGGCACCCCAACACTCAGTTTTTAGACATGGCCGTCAGAATTGCCTCATGGATGTCATGTTGACTGGGCCAGACTCCTAATATCAGGGACAGACTGCAGTATGGCTGGTAAGTTAACTTAGCCACTAACTGGGTAATAAATAGCTGAGGGTTGCTGTCCAGCCAGACGACTCTGGGGGTCCCAGTCAGTCCTACAGAAGACGCAAATTATTGAATCAATAACTTCAGGCATGTGACTTGGCAGCCATATAATGACCAAGGTTTCACGTCCTCCAAAAGTTCTGCAAGTCATATGCTAAAGCTCCGAGAAAAGGCTGAAGCTATACAATGCCAAAATAATTAGTTGAAAAGCTGAAATTTTGGTCAACATCATTATTTGGTTTCATAAAGATCTAAAAACTCTGTCATAGGATCAAATTAAACTGAAATTAAAAGTCTGCATTCCAGTTCAAACATCTGGGGCATACAGATACATGTGAATTCAGGATCCTGCTTATACTTACAAAATAGTAACTTGTTAAATGTTGGCTTTAAGGCATTCCTGCCAGTTACTCAACGCATGTTACAGGACATACACGAGCAAGTGACTGCTGCTGTAGGGACCTTATCTTTGGAATTTCTTGACATTTAAGGGTTTCTCATTTCCCATTTTAGGATGGGAGGCACAAGTCCTTGCTTTTAATTTCCTGGGGCTTTAGAGAAATGAAGAAAGAAGAAAGGGACAAAAGGAGGAGGGGAGAGAACACAGAACAGAGAAGAAAAGGGAAGAGAAGGAAAAGAAAGAAGACATTTTCTGAAACTGAGCATCTGAGTCCACTGGTTTGGCTCCCGCAGAAGCGGACTCATCGGCCTATGAAAATGAGCCCAGTGCATTCTCTGAAGTGCGCAGCCTGGCTGTGTAATTCTAAACCCTCCCAACCTCAAAATCCTTAATCATTCCTTTCTTCAGCTCTGGCTTGGCTCTCCTGCTTCAGAGAGGGCAGTAAGTCTGCCAAATTTGAGTTGAGCCTCTTCTTTTTGTTAAGAGATAGGACCACAATAAAAAGTACACTTTATTTTTCTAAGTAGAAAATGAACATCATGCCCTAATCACCCCCACTGTACTATTTTAAACAAAAGGAAAAATCCAAAGCCAAAATTCTTAAAACACAGCCGATGCAACCATATTCAAACTGGCCAAGAAAAATTTCATTTTTGGACTGAAACTAAGTAACTTTAGCTGGTTTTAAAGAGAATGCTGGAAGACCACAAAGAGCAGATGGTAGCTACAAGAGAAAAGATAATGGGAATAACTGTTCACTAGGTTGATCTATCTGCCCAGAGATGACACAGAGGTAAGATTCTGATTTCCCAGAAGCAACCTGTCCCTGAAAAAGGGGGCCTTCCTGGAGGAACAGTCCAGAAAGGGCACAGAAGAGCTGCTGTCATGACACACTGGGGTCATGAGCAGAAAGGTCACCCCAGTACTTAGGCACTTGGGTTTTGGCACCAGTTTGGGAAAGGATTAAGAACTGGAGGCGGATACAGCTTTCTCAGAACATAAACAAGGAAGCCTCTAAGTTCTTCAAAAGATCCTACGTACCACGGATACCCTAGCCTGGTAAAGACAGTACAATGAAAGCCAAGTAAAGACCAGTCACATTTATGGAATACTAACACCAAAATCTTAAATAAAGTATTAGAAACAGAATTCCACAGTATATTAAGAGAGTAACAAACCAGGACCAAATGAGAGTGCATTCCCAAAATGTAAGAATGGGTTAATATTAGGATATAAAGTCATTATTCACAGGTCAAAGGACAGTAAACGTATGATCATATAAAGCTATTGAAAAGTAACCTGACAAAAATCTAACATTCAATCCTAATTTCTAAAATCCTAAGTAAGGGGCGCCTGGGTGGCTCAGTGGGTTAAGCCTCTGCCTTCAGCTCAGGTCATGATCCCAGGGTCCTGGGATGGAGCCCCGCATCGGGCTCCCTGCTCAGCAGGGAGCCTGCTTCCTCCTCTCTCTGCCTGCCTCTCTGCCTGCTTGTGATCTCTTGTCTGTCAAACAAATAAATAAAATCTTAAAAATAAATAAATAAAACCCTAAGTAAAAGAAGCATAGGGATGTCTGGGTGGCATAGTCAATTGAGCATCCCACTCTTGGTTTCAGCTTATCTCACGGTTGTAAGATCTTGTTGGGCATGGAGCCTGCTTCGGATTCTCCCTCTCCCTCTGCCCCTCCCCCTCCCTCCTACCCACTCCAGTGCTCCCTCTCCCTCTTTCTAAAAAGCAAAAAAAAAATTTTTTTTAAATTAATGAGGGGCTCCTGGAATGCTCAGTTAGTTAAGTGGCTGCCTTCAGCTCACGTCATGATCCCGGGGTCCTGGGATTGAGCCCCTCATCGGGTTCCCTTGCTCAGTGAGGAGCCTGCTAATCCCTCTCCCCCTGCCTGCTTCTCCCTCTGCTTGTGCCCTCTGTGTCAAATAAATAAATAAAATACTTTAAAAAATAATAAAATAAAATAAAAAAGGAAGGTGAAAAAAAAAGTGGTAATGTTGAAAGATCTCTATGACATCCTAAGTAAAAAACAGTGTGTGTGTGTGTATATATATATATATATATATATATATATATATATGGCATGATTTCTTTTTTTTTAAAGGACATAATTTCTTTTTCTTTCTTCCTTTCTTCCTTTCTTTCATCTATTTATCTATCTACCTACCTACCTACCTACGTACCTATCTGGAACACGCAAACTTTTTCCCTTGGAAGAGAACTTAAGAAATTCTGTTTCTTTCTTTCTTTTTTTTTTTTAAGATTATTTATTTATTTATTTGACAGGCAGAGATTACAAGTAGGCAGAGAGGCAGGCAGAGAGAGAGAGAGAGGAGGAAGCAGGCTCCCTGCTGAGCAGAGAGCCCGATGCGGGGCTCGATCCCAGGAACCTGGGATCATGACCTGAGCCGAAGGCAGAGGCTTTGACCCACTGAGCCACCCAGGCACCCCAAGAAATTCTGTTTTTTGCAGCCCAAACAATCTTACCTGACAGATCATGTAAAGTAGGCCAGTGCCATGACTGAATATAATTCTAGAAGACTGCTCTGGCTGCTATGGAGGAATACACTGGGGTGGGAAGTGGACACGAGAGAACTAAGGGGGTATCAGTGAAGCAGATGTAGTCACGTACAAGGGCATGTCTCCAACAGCTTGCTGTAAATTAGATCAGGGCTCTGTGAAAAGGAGAGGAATCACAAACAACTCCTAGGATTTGGCCAAAGTGTAACGAAGGGTAATGACATTTAATAAGATGGCTGTTATTTGGGGAGGAGACGCTTAGAGTAGCCTGGACTGGGAATTTAGGTTTGGACACGTTCAGTCCAAACTATGAATACAACCAAATGGGACAGCCATGCCGGAGATGACTCTGCAAACCTTCGCTGGAAGAGGGAGTCAGGGCTGTGGGGATACATGTGGGGGTTATAAGCATGTAACTGACTTTAACGCCATGGGACTGAATGAGCTCATTTAGGGAATGAGGCAGACAGAGGAGAGAAGTGCCTGCTCTCACCCAAGATGGTGTGTTGGGCGTTTTATTCTGACACTCAGGGAGAGGTAAATGGAACTGAGAAGGAGTAGCATGTGAAGCAGGACCCCCAGGAAAGCAGGGGATCTAGAAGCCCAGTGAATGGGGTGAAGTTGTTCCTCCAATGCCAAGACATGTCCTGTAAGAAAAGAACAGAGAACAGGCAACTGGATTTGGTGAGATGGGGGTCACAGGTGGCCTTGGGTCAAGAGCAGTTTCAGGGTAAGTGGCAGAAGTAACTGCAGTGAGTTAAGGGGAAAACAGAAAGTGCAGAATGGGTGACCAGAGCAGAGACAACGGCTCTGAGTTTTCCTCTATGGCTGGTTTCCAGTTTAGTGGGTATCAAACCAATTAGCACATCCCAGAAATAGGCTAGAAAGTAGTTCTCAAAGCAGAAAAGAAACAGTTTCCAATGCGCCGATCTGATCTTCAAGCACGCACATACTTTATTATTTCATGTACTATTCTGACATTATAAAAGATTTAGGGTGTGCATCTTTATGTATAAATGAGGAAACGGAGGCTTCAGGAGGTCAGACAAGGTGTTCGAGGTCACACAGAGAGACGGCAACAGGGCCGAGGCCAACCTGGGCTGTGTTTCTAGAGCTCACACCAAGAAAAAGCATGAAGAAAGGAGCCAGCGGAGACTGGAAACACCATGTATGAGTGGGGGATGGGAGTGGCGGATGAGAGTCAGCACCAATTAGCCCACCGCCAGAGTTACCACGAGTTTTCGTTGAACTCTTGGTTAGTGACAGAAATAGAAGGACTCGTCACATCCAAAGGGTAATTTTCCCAAGCTAACACTCATTTTGAGGATGGAGAACACAAAACACTGGCATCACTTATCACATCTGCAGGTTTCATCAATACACTGTCTCAAGCTATGACCAGTCTGGACCAACTACAAGACCCACCCATTTAATAAAACCAGTAAGCCGCCACCTGAGAGCGGCTGTGATGCAGCATAAGCCACTGAGCGGACAGTCGGCCGCCACCTACCTGTGGTCAGCACTGGGTTTCGGCCTCCCGGTCCACAGTCTTCTGTTCACAGAGGAGGGTGGGGGAGAGGAGGGCAGGGGCGGGGGAGGTAGAGAAGGCAGAGGAGGCAGGTGCCTTTTATCCTTCCGGAAGCTGATGCCTGGGTTCCCGTCCTTGTCCCCTTCTCCATCGTGTTTAAACGTTCTCCGGGGCTTGGGCAGGGGGTTGATGAAGGGTTTTGCAGGGGAGCCCTCTGAGCCTCTGTCCACACCCTCCAGACTCTGGTCGCAGGGCCTCCTGCACAAGCCTTTCCTTTCCTCTGCGGCCTCAGCGGTGGGGTCCCTGGCCTCCAGGTCCCAGTGGTGGGACCTGAATTCCAAGCTACGCCCGGCCCCACGGTTCTCAGGGAGGGTGGGCCCCTCCTCAGCCTTGTCCGGCAGGCAGTGTGGGGAATAACAAGTCCCGGGTAACTGGGGATCCAGCCCCGCCGACCCATCCTTCAGAGCCTGCTCCAGTTTCTTGACCTGCCTCAGCACGGAGAGGCTGTCATTTGGAAAGCGCTGTTTGCCCAGCCTGGGCTCTCGGCCTCTGCCCAAGCTGGGAGCCAGCTGCCTGGCTGGCTGGCTGAGGTCTTGCCTTGGCTCTGCATCTTGTCCCCCAACTTTCATGACCCCTTTATTCCTCTCATTCTCCTTGCTCTCTGTCTCAGGCCTGGTTCCATCCTGCACCTCTGTGACCCACGCTCTCATACCATCACTGTTCCTCCTCCCCATCACACAGGACATCAGGTAGTCCTCTTGCCCATCTGCTCTCCTGCAGGGTGCAGGGGTGGGCAACTCCTTTTTCCCTTCCCATCTGGATATCTTGTCCTTTATGCTGAGGGGCTTGTGCAGGGCCCCTCCCTGGGCAGGAGGGCAGGGGTTCTGAACACCGCTGAGCTGCCTCTTGCCCGCCTTGCTGGCTTCTTTAGCACTGAGACCTGAAGCTGGGTCGCTGATGATCATATTTGAGCTGAACATGTTCTGCTGAAGACAGTTCGCTCTTGACTCTAGCATCAGGTTACTGAGACTTTCCAATGAGCTTCTTCTGGGGGGTGAATCCTGATCAGTCTCTGGCAAAGGAATGGGGGACCTAAATGGCAGCCTTCGAGGGTCTTCCCCAGCCTTTGGACCTTCCACCTTGACCCTGAACAAGAAACAGAAACATTGGGTAATGGATTCTTAGTCATAGAGACTAGCTAGAACTTAGATATAAATGCTATATGCTAGCTGTTAAATAGTAAACGTTGAAACCACCACTTTAAGAAATCACTCTGTTCTTCTTAGGAAGACAGTACTGTGGAATGAAATGAAATGATCTACTGGATTTTTGGAATGCAGTAGACTTGAGTTTAAAGCCTAATTTAACCACTGACCAGCTGTGTGACCTTGGACAAGCTGTTTCACTTCTCTAAGCCTAAGTGTCCTCATCTGTGAAATGGGAATAATGATAATACGTATCTACCAGAGTGGCTGAAAACATTGAAAGAGGAAGGCCACATGAAGCATTTAGCATGTCCTAAGTGTATAACATTATCATTATTGTCAGCTTGTTTTCCTGATGAAAACAGGGAACATCTTCTGAGGTAAAAGCTTACGTAGTCCAGATTTCCTCTGTTTCTGGAATCAATGGATGGGCCTTTGTGATGACTATATAAAATCAGAACAATGCCATAAGTCATAAAATGTTTGCTCATTCTGGGCTTCCTAAGCTGTCCTGACTTGAGTAGGAAAAGCCACAATTATTGGCTGCATCTGAACTGGATCTTCTCTAGACAGTGAGCCTACTAGACTGGTTTCTTCATGTGAACAGGGATTGCTTGGTTTGGTTGGATTACTTTGAATTTTGGCCTGTTTGGGCTACTGTTGAATTCTCAGCACCTGGAACAACGGCAGAGTAGTAGAACGTGGTACTCATTAGCCACGTGTGACATCCACATTGGACAGAGCAAAAGAATATTTCCGTCATCGCTGGAAGTTCTGGCCTAGAACAAACATGTCGGAAGATAAGCCTCCAAATGTGATTTTGGGAGATTCGTCAGTACCATGAAGATGTTAAAAGCTCTTTTGAAAGGAAACCAAAAAAACATTTTTAAGCTAGTCTAATGAGAACGGGAGTATCTGTGTTTTTGAATGCAAAATAATCTTCCAACAGCAAAGGTCGTAACTAAGCAGACTGACCTTGGACATGCCAAGATTAACAAGGACGCACAGACCAACTTCACGGTGCACATTTTTGGAATATATAGATCTGACTACATAGGAATTCTGAAACTCTAGTTAAGGGTCACAGTGAGGGACAAATAATTAGCAATTTCATGCATCCTGTTACTATTCAGCTTTCTGTTCCAAAGACTAATAATTGTTTACATGAAGACTTCTCCCTCCATTGAGACATTAACACGTAAATTGTGTTGCTATTTGTGGTTGACAGCATAAATTAGAAACTTGTGAATATGCAAACACATTTTCATATTTTAAATACGGCTATCAAAGCAGAATTCCTTATTTAAATAAACAATTAGCATGCACAACAGAGTGCTTACAAAAGAGAAACACATTTTTCAATTGTCCTGTCACCACTGAGGACATTAGCATGAATTCAGATTTTAGTGAGAAGCAGAAACAGAATCAGTTTGTTGATATTTTACTGAAAGTTCAAAAGGCAGAAGTTAAAGCCCTGGCTCTCACAGCGCTAGAAGCAAGATGACAGGCAGACACATAAATACACAATTCACATTAGTTCATGCTTAATGACAATGGATGATATAAACAATAATCATAAAAATCGAATGTACTGGTTTTTTAAAAGATTTATTTATTTTAGAGAGAGAGAGAGTGGCATGAGTGGGGGGCGGGCAAAGGAAGAGGGAGAATCTCCAGCAGACGCCCCACTGAGTGCTGAGCTCCACGTGGGGCTCAATCCCACGACCCAAGAGATCATGACCTGAGCCGAAATCAAAGGTCGGGCACTTAACCGACTGGGCCGCCCAGGCGCCACATGGACTGTTAAAAAATACTGACGACAGATAAACATGGCTTTCAAGTCAGTGGGGACCTTGGTTTGAATCTTGGCTCTATTTTTTTTCATTTTAAAATAAAAACTCTTGGGGCACCTGGGTGGCTCAGTGGATTGAGTGTCTGACTCTTGATTTCAGCTCAGGTCATGACCTAAGGTCATGAGATCAAGCCCTGTGCCAGGCTCCACACTGAGCATGGAGGCTGCTTAAGATTCTCTCTCCCTCCCTCCCTCTTTCCCCCCCCACCCTGCCCCACCAAAATAAATAAGAACTTTCTCTCTCTTCTCTACACTGGAACTTGACTGGTGCAGAGGTCAAATTTATCTTTAAATTTATCTAGTATGCAGTAGACAGTCAATAAATACTTAGAAGACAAATGAGTGGATGAGTCAATATACGTTAATGTCCCTGGAGTACAGCACACACTCCAGTTCCTGACAGTACTAAATGGCAAGGAGTGTTGCTGCAATTGTCTAAGATCCCAGATATCTGGGGTGACCTCACAATCATGGAGGCCCAATGTGAAAACTGAAAGGGAAGAAGGACGGCTTGAAGAAGACCACATGGAATTATTCAGCTCAAGCAAGAGGCAAGGATGGTGAAGCCAGAGGCAAAGGGCCCTCTCCATGTGGTTGTTGCACCCAAGGATTTTCTGAGGTCCTTTTCCAGGACACTACGGCCCCAGAAGGGACTGGGGACTGTGGTGCAGAGCTGTGATGACCAAGGCCACCGCAGAGTGTGAGACAGAGAGTCAGAGGAAAGAGCTCCATGTGGAGAGAAAACAGCACTGCTGAAAGAGGATGGGCAAAGCCGGCTTTGCGGATAGATGCACCTGTAAACATTTAAGGTTCAAGGATAATGAAAAGGCCTATGCATCCTAGTCATTAGGAAAATAAATCCTGGGCTGGAATGGGGAGAGGGCGTGAAGCTGCCATGGGCCCGTCCTCTCAACAACTGGGTGCTAGTCAGACCTTCCACTGCCCACTGTGGTCACAGGTTCTCCGGCATGTGGGGCCATTTCCAGGAGGCACATGGCAATGACTCGGAAAAGACCTGTCCTTAGTCCAACGAAGTGGGGTTAGAGAGGAGGGAAAGGCGGTAGAGAGAGGAAGGAAGTAGAGACTCTGGGCCAACTTCTACACTCTCAGGGGAGAAAAGCTCTTACTTGTCAGCCAATTTGTAGCTCAGGTTTTCGGTCTGGCTGTGGCTGCCCTTGGCCGGCCTGCACCCTGTCATCACGTCAGCACCAAGAGGAGCTCCAAGTCGCCTGGGGGAACAGGGATGCATACTCAATGAGTCACGAGAGCAAATCTAGGGCCCACACCCCAAACTATTTATCCCTGACAGAGTCCACCCAGGGGTGGGGTATGTGTGTGTGACTGCAACACATCCTTCAGAATCCCTGACCCAGGAGAGAGGGCAAGGGCACAGCATCCTGATATCCCCCTGGATGCAGACCCCATACCAACCAACCTCTTCTCAGTCAGAATGCATGCCAATCCTGTGTGTGCGCGTGCACGGGCTATGTGTGTTCATGGGTGTGTGACAGCAAAAGATAAAATACCAGCACAACCCGGCACTTTTTCAGGCTCTCTTAAACCTGTGATGCACGAACAGTCCCCAAAGAAGACATGAGTCATTACTCTACTTAAAACAATGAACCGCCTGCCTAAACCAAAACCCCCCCCCACAGAGGTACTCCTGTGCTGGCCCTCGGGCATGCATGGACACCCTCCGTCCTTGGCCTTGAAGCCCTGTGCGAAGACCCTCTCCCAGCCGCTGCAAGCCCAGGGAAGGAAACACAGAGCCACTAAGTCATCTGTCTGGTCTAAGGAAGAGCAGGTGGCTCTGGCAAACCCAGGAATCCCACGGGGCACCTCACACCTACAAATAAGGACCACGTGGATGCTAAAGCAGCAGCCTCCCCGGTGTAGTGGTTTTCATGACGCGCAAGTGCCTGACATTCCAATGCAGTGAAGTAGCTGATTAAAAGGTAGGATTTCAATAGCAAGGCCCGTCAGAACTCTGTCTCTCAACATGAGGACGAATGGACATTGCTCAGGTGGACGTGGCTAGGAAGATGAGACCCATCGAGAACGGAGAACACCAACAGGATGCGCAACGCAAGTCTTCTGCAGAGCATGAACACTGCATGGACGGTCCCTCCTGATGGGGACAAGGTGGCTGTTTGGTTAGAGGTTCAAGGAGTACTGAGATACTGGAGATTCACGTCTCTTTTCCACTGACCCTCCAGGGAATCCCCCCACTGAGTCCCTCTCAAGTTCCAAGATTCCCATCCCCTCTCCCAGGAGAGTTTGCCTGCCAGGTGACAGGGTAGCTTCCCAAATTCCTGGCCTGGGCATCCCCTTCCTGCAAGAAATCAAAGGGCTGGACTTCAAGACATGCGTGTAACTCCTGGGAACAAGGAGAGGGAGGCCAGGAGCAGGAAGAGAAAAAGAAAAGGTAGCGAGCTCTGGGTAACAAATTAAAAGGAAGAGGGTTGAGACTGGGGAGCTGAAAAGCCAGGAAGGGAACAGGCTGGTTCAAGCAGGTGTGAGTTTGGGGAGAGGGGCAGCGCTTAGGCCCGCCCCCGGAGCTCAGCTGCCCCTTACCCAGTCATATGGCATCCTACCTTTTGGGGTACGGCTGTGCTGAAAGCAATCCAGCTCTTTAAAGAAGTCAGGCCCAGAGCTCTCCCCTCCCGTTAGGGAAGAGAGCGCTGAAGGGCCTTTCAGAACAGGAAGGAACTCACTGCCTCTCTCATAATGCTCCACAAAGCTTCTGGTCAACTATACTTCAATTAAAAAAAAAAAAAAGCTTCTGGAGCCTCTCCATTTGGCTGGACTGAAAGACACGGCCCTTTTGTCGTGCATCTGGCAGACGGCCCCGTTGGATATCAAGGACAGTGGCTGCTCCCTCTCCGCCCCCCTCATGCCTGCACTCTGTACCCACATGCACAACCGCAGGGATGAAGTCTCAATCCACGTAAGCAGCAACTATCTCCAGCCACCCCCCTTCTTTCTAGCAGGCGTCCCCCTCTCCTGGGCACCACAAGCACGTGCCAGGTTCTGTGCAGGATGCAGGGCGGCCTCAAGGATGAGTAAGACATGGTGTCTGCCCTCAGGGAGAACACCCAGGACTGTGCTTGGGTCACTCAGTCCTGGCATCTGGCTTTCCCCCAAAGAGAACAATTTGCCTATACTTCCCAGAAAACCAGAGCTTTCCCAAAAGGGACAAAAGCCGTTGTGTCTCATGCACAGAGAACCGTGTATGGAGTCTGAGGTTGAGGGTCACAAGAAGCACTTAAATAATATGGTACTGGAGTGAACTCGATTCCCATCGGGTACTAATGACCTCGAGGACTAAAACCATGGTCTCTAGAGAAATAGCTGGTGCCATATTCTGAGAAGCAATTTCAAGTGGGCTTCAGGCTTCAGGAACTGAGAGAGTAAAGAAGGGCCCGCCACTTGGTGATCAGCCTCCCAGCATTTCTAAACTCACAGACGGACAGAACATGTTGCCCCCACAAAACTACGACCCTTCCCTTTTCACCTGTGATGTTTCAAAGCCATTAATTAGGTGACAAGCCCAGCTTAACCTGCTGACTGGAAGTACTCTGGCACTTATGTCACCGTAACTTTGACATCACTTTGTAGATTTGGGATTGCAAGGTGGAGCTATTTCCCCAAGTGTGCTCCACCGGGAATCTGTTCAAGTCTGCTGGGGGGTCTCGGGGGGGGGCAGGTAGACTTCAGGGCATCGCTCCAACTACCAAAACCCACTGTCTGGGCACTGGCCTGAAGCTGCATTTAAATACAGTCAATCAAAGGCCTCGGGCGATTTTTACACAACCCGACATTCTTTATTTCTTCCTGAGCAATTTGGCCTTGTGATCCAGACTGGTTTCCAGGAGGTATAATGAATGCATGACTAATAAAAACACATTTTCCCACTCCACTGCTTTCCATAAAAACAGAACTTCTCATTCACCAGATGGGCTTAATTAGTATTAATAATTTTAATTAAATTTAAAATGTCATACAAAATTCTGACGCTAGATGATAGGTACGTGAATACAGGTTTTAGAGAGACGCTTCCGGTCTGTCTCAAAGGACCACAGAAAATGTAATTGTTCCAACCTGACATTACCAGATCAAAAACCTGTGTTATTTTATAATTCCTTTACGTTTACCCACAAAGGCTTAAAGTTCCAGCCTGATCTCTGAAAACACCGTTTTTTCTTTTTTTAAGGGACTAAAAGGTGAAGTCACTAATTGAAAAACAAGTGTCTTGTTTTTGCCCATGAGAGTGTCAAGATTTTAAAACAGATATTAAGTGTTTTCCTGGTGGTAGGAAGGGGGGAAATGACATATCAGATCTTCTCCTGAGCACAGTTCTTACAGGAATGCCTGAGGGACCTGAAGGAGGGACAGGGTGCAGCCCGCAGTGCCGCAGTGCAGAGAGAGGAGCCCCCAGAGAAAGGAGGGCGGGGAGCAGGTCCTTCAGAATCCTGCCTGCCTGCCTGCTCTGCCTCCTCCGTGGCCATCTGGGGAAGCAGCCTGGGGAAGCCAGTGTGGTGTCCGCCACCAGGAGCCCAGGGAGATAGCCACTGGCATTCCTAGGCCGGGCCTCTCAGAGCATTGCTACTTATAATAGAGCATTGTTCATGTTTTATTTATTCTGAGCATTGATGAATTATCCATTTATCAAATTATAAATTATATAGGGGGCCACTGAGCTCTCACCAACATTTATAACATTCTTCCTGTTAACTCTGGTGGGTTTTTGTTTTTTTTTTTTTTAAAGATTTTATTTATTTATTTGCCAGGGAGAGAGAGAGAGAGAGAACAGGCAGACAGAGTGGCGGCAGAGGCAGATGGAGAAGCAGGCTCCCTGCCGAGCAAGGAGCCCGATGTGGGACTCGATCCCAGGACCCTGAGATCATGACCTGAGCTGAAGGTAGAGGCTTAACCAACTGAGCCACCCAGGCGTCCCTCTGGTGGGGTTTTTAATGGTACAACAGGGAAGTGATACATGAGCTACAGAAATGTTGCTATCGAAGTCACCTATAAAAAGAAGTTCAGATATTACTGTTTTAGACACTGCGAGAAAAACAATTTGGACATGCATAAGCCATGGGGGTTGGTGGGTGGAGAGACTGGTTTCCCCAAATCTTAAAACAAAAACAGTGATTTAAATAAAAAGTGAAATCTGGAAATGCCGATCCACTGATAAATGAACAAAATGTGATATATACAAACAAGGGAATGTTACTTAGCCATAAAAAGAAGTGAAGGACTGTTACATGCCACAATATGGATGAACCTTGAAAATACAGTAAGTGAAAAAGCTGGACACAAAAAGCCACATATTGCATGAATCTATTTATAGGAAATGTCCAGGGTGGGCAAGTCCATAGAGGGAAGGGGAACTGGACTGACTGCCAATAAGTAAAGGTTTCTTTGGGGGATGATGGAAATGTTCTGGAATTCGATAGTAAAGACAGCTGTACAACTATCACTATATAGTAAGTAACTACAAGTCACTAAATTGTACACTTTTTTTTTTAAAAGATTTTATTTATTTATTTGACACAGAGAGATCACAAGTAGGCAGAGAGGCAGGCAGAGTGAGAGAGGGGAAGCAGGCTCACCGCCGAGCACAGAGCCCGATGTGGGGCTCAATCCTGGCACCCTGGGATCATGACCTGAGCTGAAGGCAGAGGCGTTAACCCACTGAGCCACCCGGTGCCCTAAATTGTACACTTTTAAGTGGTAAATTTTATGTGCGTTATATCTCAATTAAAAATACATTATACACATCTTCAGTAAAAACAAAAATAGGGGCGCCTGGGTGGCTCAGTGGGTTAAGCCTCTACCTTCAGCTCAGGTCATGATCTCAGGGTCCTGGGATCGAGCCCCACATCAGGCTCTCTGCACAGCAGGGAGCCTGCTTCCCCCTCTCTCTCTGCCTGCTTCTCTGCCTACTTGTGATCTCTCTCTCTCTCTCTGTTGAATAAATCAATAAAATCTTAAAAAAAAAGAAACAAAAACAAAAATAAAAAATTTGGGCAGGGGAAGGAGGGGTGGAGTAAGGAATAAAACACACACAACTATAATTTTCCAGTGCCCTTTACTGTTCTAAGGTTAGTATGCTAATTCTGGAATATAGGTAAATATACATTATATGCACTTGATTTGTACATAAAATGGTCATACTTGATATACTGAATGAAAAAATACAATTTACATCACAAATGACTGCGCA